ACAATTTTATTCGTGAAAAACAGCAGTATCTGGGATCGTCATCCTGACCTTTGAACAGTTAATGAAATGAAATAATTGTTAACCAAGTGTCTACTCATTCGAGAAGGAGTATTATGTTGTGGTATGTACTTTTTCATCTTTTATTCGTTATTCGAAATTTTTTATTTAGATAACGAATTTGCCCATCTCTGCTCCATTGAGAAACACGCCCGAAGCGTAACACAATTTAAACATTATACGCTTGAACCACCTCGCCCAGATATTAGCCCCCGGCTTTTCGAGTTCGGATACAAGACGATGAACCTTCTGCTACGAAGGGTCAGGGTGAATCTTGGACGACTAGTTTATCTTATTCTGCTTAGACGCGATTTTACATTAAGGATCCGTGTAGAATGCGACACTCTCGTTGGTCGAGCAAATTTGATGTTCTGAAGGATTAAGGAATATTTTGGAAACGAATCGTGCTAGTGTATTTTAGCGAATTTCGGTTATTGCGTTGCGATTGGTATATTTTTTAGGGGCCAAGGGATTGTAATCAAAGGGGAATTTGATTTCTTTGTCGAGGACTCGCTCAGGACCCGAATGAGACCAGAACGTTATGGAAGTCTATATGAAAAAAAAATTCAAACATTTCAATTCCTTTTAAATTCCGTAGGTGTGTAGGGGACCATAATAGAAGCGCCGAACAATTGTTCGTTTTTGCTAATATACGATTCTTCGGAGTGAAACCACCCCTTAAGCTTAATGTGGCTTTAGTGCTTTCCTATTTTCCTCTACATCTCGGAAACCATAGTAGATATCAGAAACCTGTTAGATTGAAAATTTAATGGATCTTTATGCACTATAAATTTGTGCAATAATATTATTAATAAATAAACAAAGTTTTAACAATTTCATGAGACTTTTACAAAGCTTAAAAACCCATTAAATTTTTATTGTAACACTTTTTTGATACTTACTATACTTTTAAAAATATCCAGGAAAATAAGAAAACGTACATTCAAGAGGTGGTTTCATCACGAGGAACCGAATATCACCAAAAACGAAAAATTTCCCGATGTTTCTATCGAGATCTTTCTATCGAATTTCCCTGTGATTCATCAGTGTAAAGATAGATGAAGGCAATTCAAGTATAGTCGCGTATATTCAGATGAAGATGACGGTCAAATGTTGCAGACAGAAGTGCGCAATAAAAAAGAAAAAAAGAAAAGTAAATCGTCGGGATGTTTGCACCAGAGCCCGACGGAAACTCGAGACCGACGATATCCGCGATCGGTCGAGTGTCGGGCAACGTAGGAGGTAAACGATCCCGCGCTTCCTCTGTCGGCCGAATTCCATTTGAAATTTAAATCAGAAGTAACGATTTCAAACAGACGTTTCACTTTTTAATTGGAAATAAAATAATCCAGCTGATGTAATTAACGCACACGAGCGGATAATAAACGGTTCGTTCGATTAGAAGAGCACCGGCAATATTAAACCTTCCAATATTAAACCAGCGATTAATAATATCTCGGCCTTTAGAAATTCCTTTAAATAGAACAACTAGACTTTGGGTCGTTGCAAAAAGGAAACGTAACTGCAACGGAGGACTGTTTTACGCTGGACGTGATCGATTTGAAATGCGGTGAATTCAGACCGTGTTTACGAGAAATCAAACTACAATTATAGTTTGGCGAATCACGGGTCTCGCGCGTGGCGATAGAAGACATACACGATGACGACAACTGGAGAGCCTCCACGCGAGTGAGAGTTGAACGTAGTAAACATTCCAACGCATTCAGCTAGGATTCGAGAACGGGCGTCTAACGTGTAATTGGGATACTTGCGTCAAACTATCGATCGATCGTTTCCCCGATTTATTATCTCTCGAACGTAATTGCCACCGTTCGAAGCAACTTCTCGATACCGTGTACAGCTATTTTCAGCCGGTAACATAATTGCGAAAGAGATACTTCACGAAATATGTGTTTGGGAAAGTTCTGCTACAGTGGCGTTCGGGACTGTTTCCCGAACCAACAAGCGACAAGTGTACATTCATGATCTTCGTGAATTCCTGACGCGCAGTGAACATGCCAATCAGACTTTGTTTATTTATACACGACTACATAGTCCGTGTGTTCATCGACGTGAACCGTTTGAATAACAGGATTTTGTATGTTTTTTAGAATATCTTGTCATCGAACAGATGCGCGAGGCATTCCGTGTAATTTTTATTTTACGTTGATGTTTATTTTCTTTGCTTCTATTCTTTGAAATTTCGAAGTATCGACATAAAAATTTGTTGAATTCGACTTACTATTCGCTAGCTAAAATTGCATCAACATAAAAATTTGTTGAATTCGACTTAGTATTCGCTAACTATAATTGCACTTTAGTGATGCACGGGGACGCAAGGAAATGATACGAAGGTAACGTAAGAATATCGATTCTTCGATGCTATTCAACTTTACCGTATGGAATCTTTCTTTACGTGCAACCGTTTTTCAAGGTATAACTAGTCCTACTTGCGTGGGTCAATCTCTACACTTGAACTTTCTAATAGAAAACATAGTAACTAAACTGTGAATTTATATGACACCATAAACTAGAACAAATCTGAGAAACATAACGTCATACATTTAGATTGCACATTTATCGTAACAAAACTACCTAATTTCCACTTTCGAAAATTAACCACTAAAAATACACGCTTGCACAGAGCTCGACGGTCTAATAATAACGTTCTCACTTTATTCTTAACCCAACAAGATCCGTAATGCGACGAATAAATATTTGTTTACTTTTCGTTGGTCGAGACTCCGTTCCGTATCGCCGATCGTAGTTTACGGCAAAATCAATAAAAGGTTACGCAGTGTTACAAACAAACAGTTACATAAACGTTGTGTACAGTCGATCTCTATTTTTGTTATCCGTACGTCAAAACTTTCCCAGCACGCTTCGTATGTCAGACGGTGTTATTTCGAAAGTGGTGCGGTTGTGTACCACGCTCGAGTCAGAGAGGCACGCGGCGCACCGATTGACAGGAGACGATTAACGAGAATCGAAAGAGACATTTGAAAAGCGGACGCTTAATTCGGCCGTGATTCTGGCGCGCATCCCCAATCGAATGACGCTTTTAACGAACCACGAATCATCGTCATCGGAACCACACGTGTCCCGATCGTAAAATCGGCGTCGCGACAGCACGATGTGTCTCTAAATTTCACAGATTCGCGTGTCGGTGTTTGTTGAGCCGCGACACGTTCGCACTCCGAAAATACAAGTGCACTCGAAGAGGCGAACGAGGGCTCGATAGAATCGTAACAAAGGCGCGCGCGCGCGCGCGCGCGTGGAGGCACACGAGTGTAATACATATCTCTCGAGAAACTTGGAAAGATCGACTCACCGAGCACAGTCGTACAATCTCCTTGATGCTCCCCGGCGGTGAAACGTCGAGACGCAGATGCGATCGAGAGTCGATCGATACCCGCGAAGAATCGGTCGGCACTAACAACAAACCACACTTGTTCCCCCGTTGTATACAAACACACGCGTTGAACACGCCAAGTAGTCACCACACACGTACGGCACTGTCGTAACACACGTGTACGTATATACGTATATTCACACAACAGCAGCAGATACAAAGTGATACAAGAGAGAAATCGAGAGACGGGGGCACAGAGAAGAGACACGCACACGAGGTGGTCCACGCTGGTCGAGTTGCACCAAAGCTCGATGAACTTCTGTCTCTCTGTGACCGCACTCTGAATATATATATATATATATTCCGCGACACGTCGTCTAGGTCGCGTCGTCACCGTTCAACGGCCAGTTTAGACCGAACTATCCGTACCTGTACACGGCACGGTTCATTCTGAGCGGTCGGTATACCGCTCGTTCGTAAGAAAAATCACGATCGCTCCGGGACGCAGATTCCCCGCACCAGTCGCGCACAACTTGTTTACTAGAACGCGCACCACGCCATGCCCCGTGAATGCGCGACCGCCTCCGTGCTCCCCTCGTCCCGCCGCGAGCAAAACAAGACTCTGCGCAGTGGCCTACCGCGCACCTTCCGGGCCATGTTCGCACGAGCCGATGTGTGCGCCGTTTGTCGTTGCCTCGTGCTCCACCAAAGGCGCCTTCGTCCCCTCGTCGGACAACGTTCGCCCCCTCTCTTTCTCGCTGGATCGAGACACCGTGAGCGCTATCCTCCTTCTCCCTTTCTCCTTCTCCCTCTCAATGGCTTTTTATCTGTCCCTCCTTCTCCCTCTCTCATTCTATCACTCTTTCACTCACTCTCCCTCCCTCTGTCTCTCTCTATCTCGTGGCTCTCTCGGTCCTGCGTTCCGCGACCGACTCGACTCCGCTTCGCGGGTTCCATTTCCCCTTCCTTTCTCCCGAACCAAGCTCGTGTCTCTATCACGTTGCCTCCACACGATAGCCCAGCTATATCGTCCGACGAGGCATAACGGCCGCCGCGTAGAATTCAACGGATCTCGTCTTACGCGTTCTACGACGCAACCACAGTTCGCCACGTAACGCGTAAATCGAGCGGGTCATCGTACCCTTGCGCCGCCACACGTTGCTTACGTTCCTTCGGAAAATTCCGTGGACCAGTCTGCGGTCGTACAGCGACATCTAAGAAGGACTAGTGAGAAGTTACGGTCGCGTTGGTACGGACGGTTTCTAAAGTACCCCGCAATGGACAAAAATATTGGCGCGAAAAGTGTATACATATGTATTCTGTTTATGTATTTATTTAGACGCTATAGTCTTTTGTACTTTCTTGTTAGTTTTGGTTAGATTGATAACAGCATTATTAATAGTTTCTGCAACTGTACTATACTTCTGTTCGATAAAGTCGTACTCCGATAATTGTTTTACTGAAAAAGTTTTATTACTACGTTTTACAATACAGCTTCTTCGACATAGTGGACAAATAGAAAAATGGATTATTTAATGCATCAATGATTATACCGTGAAAATGATAGGATCACTATGTGCTAAAAGTGTTCTTAAGTTAGACATCGCGATACCGAGAGTAAAGTGGCAAGGCCCAGTGCCATGGAGACAGCGCAGACAAGCGATAGAGTATCTCTGTTGTAATTCGGACAGAGTTCCGGTTGTCTGCACCTCCTGAAAAAAGATTCGATAAAATACAATCTTCGCGAGTGTTCATCGGTCGTAAACGATTCTTACGATAACTTAGCATCGAATTACTCACCATTTTTCGATAAATATAACAACTACGCCCGTGACAACTTTATCGAGGAAAGTCACGGTGGAGTAAACGACGGCGCTTCGCTCCGTTCGCGGACCAATGATCTCCGCGGTCACGCTTAAAGCTGTGACCATCGTGATGGAGCTTGCAGCTCCGATTAAAATTGCAACTATGTAAATGATGGCCGCGTTGTTTCCGCCGAATTTCGTGACCACCGCGGAGAATATTCCAATAAGCGTGCCCAAGAAATAACACATCTGAAAAGAAGGTTCACAGTGTCTCTCTAAAATAATGGTACTTGTCGTGGGCATTTGTCTCTTTTACTAAGAAAAAAAACCAACGAACCTTTGTACCGCAGGATTTATTTATGTATTTCAGCAGTAAAGCCGCCACAAAGGAGGACACGTACGAGACCAGCGGCACAGTCGCCAATGCTTCTTTTCCGTCGATGTCCGTTTCTTCTATGTACAACGGCAAATACACCGTGGCCAGAGTAATGAACAGTCTACTGGCTACGTACAGCATCGCCACTCTTAACAAAATGGTCGAACTGAACCAGGAGCTTCGATTGTTCGGAGGATTATCGAGCAATCGTCGAGACTCCTCGACGTTCCCTTTATGCGGCGCAGGACTCTCTAGGAGATGTCCTTTCAAGAGAACGTGGAAGAATATGGTGGTGACCATACCGATGAACGTCAGCGTCAGTACGATGTTCTGAAAGGGATGATAGTCGTTAAGTCCATTACTCGTCTCCGTTACAAATTTCTTTTAACCCTTAAAGTTCTTAAACCCTCGAAATCCTCGAATAATAAGCCAGACCAACAACTTGTTCTTTTTTCACTGCTAATGTTTCGGTATAATGAAATAATCTATTTTTTACCGAAATAGTATTGTTGGTGATTGACAACGCAAATGAGTTTTATAAATGAATAGGTGATAGTCATTATCTTGTAATTAATTCTTTCATTTAAGATACTTACTCTAAATTTATAACTGTCTTCTTGAGCAAGTCGTACGACATCTTCCTCGTTTGTGGGCAGAACTATCCACGTGACGACGAACACCACCACCGCTGCTCCTACTTGAGCTGAATATCTGTTTTTATCGTAGACTGTGGTCAGAATTAACGCAATGAAATGTGTCCAATGGGGGAATAGGGTAGTTTTACCTTATCGCGGTTAAGTCCGCTCGTGCCAACGGTGAATTCGTCAGGGCGGGGATCATGGACAAATGGGAGATTTGCACAGCCGCCCATCCTGTTTGAAATATGCTGATGCTGACCACGTAGACGAGCATCACGGCTGTATTGGAGGGATCGGCGAACCCGCCGAAGATCACAGGGAACGTCAAGGTGACCATAAAGGAGCCGATAATATGCCACACTTTCTTCTTCCAATAACGATCGACCAGTATACCGAAAATGGGCGTCATGAGAGCATCCACGATTTGTCCTGGGAGATATCGGATAACATACATTATATTAAGAGTTAATTAATTAAATTTGTGTTCAGCTTCAAAATTCGAATATCGAGGGTGAATTATTTTAATCGATCCCCTTGAAGCGCATCGAAACTGTTGATGATACCGATAAATGTTTTAAATAAAAGTTGAATGGTTTCAGAAAGGAATTAATTTGATGGGAGTAGTTTTTTGTAGATGGATGCGTATAGGACATATAAAGGGCAAATTAATTTTTTTAAATGGAATCATATATCTGTTCGTTATTCCCTATGAAAATATAGTAAACTATTTATGTCGAAAAATAATTAGTTTAGAAGATACTTTTATTTTGATATTGCGCGCGATACTACGCGCGACATCTAACATCGAACATCACCTTTAAAAAGGTAAACGTGATATTACTATACAATATGTATTACCACTGTGGTAGTATCACCTCTCAATTTTGAAATTAAAATGTCTTTTAAACTAATGGTTTTTCGACATACAATACACCGACTAATGAATTAAAAAACTACTCACGTCAAACTATTATCGAGTGAATCGATTTGAATGACTCACCCTGTATAATCTAGGTTTAACTAAGGTTTACACGAAAGCATCCCTAATCTGTTCTCAACGATGTAAACTACTGCATATTAAAAATTAATGGATTAAGGTTTTTATAAGATTCAAAATTTCCATATGTGTATTACCTAAAAGCAAGAGGGCGCCTGCAGCAAGTGGTTGCAATAAAGCCACCCTTTGGAAGTAGATGAGGGTGTAGGAGAACCACATGGCGGCAGTGAGATCATTGAAAATGTGTCCCAGGGCGTACGCCAATTTGGTCGAAGTGCCGATTTTCCTCTCCAACAGTGGAGACCGTTCTGCATCGTTCTCCATTTTTTTTTATTTATTTAAATACTGAATCGACCACTGTTACGTTGTTGCAAGACGTTTCGAAGCAGCTCCTGTTTCAGGTGAATCCGTTGTGGTTGTGCGATGGATTCTTCATCTTCGAGGTTCTGCGCTGCACAAAGTGGATCGTGAGTATGAAGTCACTGACACAGATCACGAAGTTTCCGTGACGGTTTAATAGATAATCCGATTCTTAATGAAGCGATAATGTATCGAACACTCTTTCCCCCGAGGTATTAACAGCTGCCGTTCGATCCATTAATAGTCGCCTACGTCAAATTTTGTTACGATCGCGTATTTGAATTACAGGGACGGTTAATACAGCGAATAGACATTCATATGTATCGTGAATCAGCTATTGTTTACAATTCCGCCCACGCGTTCCGACTTCTAGTGCCACATTTCCCGGTGGTGAGGAATCATCGTTTAAAATTGCTCAATTAAAATTAACACAACGAAATCACGTAACAAATTACCGGTAATTCTTGCAAGTCTTTTCCCCGTGGAACTACGATTACGATGCGTGTAAACACGTTACGTGACTTTTCCAAGTGTCACGGAAATGATGCGCCCTGTGTTTGATATCCGGTTTATGAAACACGACGCAGGTATTTGAAACTGTCACGTCTAGAAGAAAAAGACGGAAGTGTCTTTCTAAAGTTTCCGTGCACATTTTACCGAATGCTTGTTTCGTATCAGGTATAATTCTGAGTCAATGTTTAACTGGTAGCATTGTGCATGAATTCACCTTTCGAGGACGGGCAGGTTTTTTCATGACTGTTTATATTTTCGAGTTAGAACTGATATACATTTGTTATCGCGTTAGAACACGAAAAATAAACGATTCCTCTGGAGCCTGAAAATAAGCTTCCCGACCTCTAAAGATTAAAAACACCTTTCCGTTCTATTTTTCAGTAAAAGTGTGGAAAAACGTTGAAGAACAATCATAAATAATATTGAAATAACATGGGCTTGTAAGTTTCTTAAAAACTTTATCAACTTTTTTAGCACATGTGATAACGTCACCTAATCATTAGAAAAATAAAGATTGTCGTTAATTAAACGGCAAAATCTAAAATGTCCAGTTTTTTTACTTTCACGTGCTCCACGTGGAGGGGATTAAAATTCAAAACCACAACGTAAGTCGCGGTCCCGTTTATGAATTTCGCAAAGCCTCACTCACCGTCCGCCGTCAATCCGATCAGTCAAGGAGAACGCTTAAGCGTAACAAGGATGACGAAGGGACGATGCTCGCGGAGACAGCCGTGTGTCTCAAAGGAAATCGTCGCGCGCAGCTTTCCTTTCACCTGCGAATAAATTTCCGTTAAAGGCTTTACCGCCGGCACTGGCAAAACCACGTCGCGGGCCCGAAAGCTGATTATCCCCCGATGTGATTCGCGATCGATTGACCGTTACAAGACTCGATGACCATTAACTCGATTCACTTCATTGAAAACACAGAACACACACACACACACATACACTGGTGCTCCACTGTCACAGGATATCGAATTCAACGCGTCCACCGGATGAACTCTCGAATGGCCTATTTGTTTCTGGTAATTAAAACATCACTTCCGGTGTTGCCTTCCCTGCGCGTCGATCGATCACTTTCCCGCGTCGAATTGCATACAGAAAGACCGCCAATGTCCACGGTGGTCCCCTGTTCGTAAATATCCCTCCAGGAAATGTAAACGGTCTTGAAATCGGTCTAGATCTCCCCCTAGACAGAGGAGGGCCTGCAGAGACACCGTTGCCGGAAGTCACGAGCGCCAGACTTACGGGCCCACGGCCGTGCAGAGTGACCACGAAATCAAACACTGCGATCTTTCCCGTATGACAAAGCGAACGTTAGCGTACACACGACATCCACGGGGTTCACGAGCGTGAGCCCAGAGCATGCGGCCTATCCGCCGCGTGAGCACCTGGAAGACTGGACTTTCAAACCACACGCCGTTTCCCGCTTCGTGGGCCGGCCGGCTATCGCGAAATCGACGCACGTCTCGATTACAACGTCACGGGCACGGACTCCCCTCGCCGCGATAACCGCAATCTTATCGGGAACCACGTTGCTCGTGGACAATCTCTCCTTGTTTTGCAACGGAACTTTAATCGCAACAATCAAGATTCAGGTACTTTGGGAAACTTCGGTTGAATACAGCACTCGGTATGTAAACAAACTGGGCACGGCATTGCCATTGAGTTTAATTGATGATGGATCGAGTGGGGGCCATTTTGAATACGTCGTGGTCAAGCTTGTGGTTGCTGAGAAAATGATTGATTTTGTATGAGGTGATCCTTACACGTTCGAGCTGTTTGAAGAAATGTACTATTTCTTAGAGATGGACAGATGGTATAGTCACGTTGAGAAAAACTGTAGCAATGAAATGTTCGAAACAATCGAATCATTTGTTGAATGAAACATTTAATTAAAGATGCAATTATCAATACTTACAGCGCTTGCAATAACACCAGAGAATCGGAAAATACCGAGTCTTTACGATGGCACCACGCAGAATCGTTTTACCAAACAAATGAAAAAAGTGTAGAGAGGAGGACCTGCGGCACTTGTTCACAGTTCACTGATACTTAAATTTCAAAATCGACGGAATATTGAAAAAACACTAAGGAACGATAGAAAATATGATAATCGTATTTTGACTAATTAACGTCTTCCTTTCGTGAAGATTACTACCGACTGCTTGCAGTTTTGTTTGCATTCATTGATATAGGTAGTTCGAGTGCAGAATAATCTATAACGTTTCCAGTGCAAACATTGATCGAACCGTCGGAGATACTCCGAATTTATCATTGGTAGAAATAAATTTTACACGATATAGTTTTTCCAGGTAAAATCGCGAAGAAAGCCCCTGTACATAATTAATGTCGCATGGTGTTTATAGGACGGCTATATTTGCAAGGAGGGTAGAGCTTGGGCACGATACATTTTGCTGGAAAGACACGAGTAGCTGCTGCAACTCGGTTGGATGTCTGCGGTTCGGTGCACGGCCGTGATTAATACGCCCGTGGTGCGTCTGTGTGTGTGTGGAACGTAAGGGCATCCCATAGGTGGGCAGGAACGGCTCTGTAATCCGAGCCCGCGAGAGAGAAACGCCAAGTGCGTACAGAGAGAAATCGATACCGAGCAAGTTCTTGTACGGTCTCTCCAGTTAGGCGGTCTTGCGAACTACAGACATCCCGAGAGTTCGTTCACCGGCCACAGCCACGGGCGAAACCAGTATTTCATCAAACGTGACGTATTTAGCTCACCGAGACGAATTACATACGCTCGCTGATTGAGACTGTCAATCCCCAGTCGCGAGTGCACACAACGACCACCAAGGGCATTTTTATTTAAGTTCCCTAAACTATATCTAATTAATGTAATAATTCCGAGGACACTTACGGGATGGTATTTCTTGTCTCATAACTAGGTTAGGTTCGCTTATACCCACAAGTCGGTTAACGTGTTTCTTACAAAATCAGATTTATTTCGAATAGGTGTATACAAATCGAATTCTGGCTCGAATGTACCATTGACATTAATTGAATACACGGTATACGCCACATCCCATACGTTTACAGAGTTCGTAACTGAATTACTTACGCGGTCGTATGCCTGACCTTAATTTCGTATTGCGTACCTCGAATGAACACATTTCTCCGATTTTTTTGGTACAGAAGTTGCTCCCCGGTCGATCGAGGATATCATACAGGTTTTCTGGGGTTTCGAATCCATCTTCGACTCAAAGCGTCTTAGAATAGATAAACATTTCCTTAAAAAATATAACAGTACGAAATATTCGCAAGTATCGATAAAAATGGAGTGAACGCTTCGTAAGACTGAATGCGATATATGTATGTACATAGAATATAGAATACTTCAGAAAGTCTGATGTGGACGATGGAGATAACATTCGTAGAACTGTCTCGAGATTGCTACTACAATCATGTAGTCCAATGTTCCTCGTCATGGACGAAATAGAAATTTGGTTCATCACTGGGAAGTGAGTCGAGGAACTTTTATTCTGACGAGCTTTCATGCTATAACTTCGTTTTTTCAGAGGCGGCGTACTCCGTACCTTCGAATTGCCTCAAATGAATCTGTCAATTACACTTTTTACGTTAGCGATAGCATGGGCATAATTGTATGAGAGAAAACAAATCGCAAGTACCTGTAAATGTAGATTGACTTCTGCTGATCGACTTAAATATGGAAAATTCCCGCCGCTCTTTAGGTGCGCTAATTTAGCGTTCGGATAACATTTATACATCTCTTCCCTTACTGAGTTTGATAGGGCGTATTCATCGAACACATCTATAATCGTGATGGGCAAATGACATATCTTTTGTGGTTGCACGTAACAATTTACGCAATTTATCGTCAATCGAGATGCTAGCTCTGGTTGCGTCAGACTCTCCAACTGTAAATAAAAACTGTACTTTTAGGCACGTGCTTCCAGAAACATGAGGAGTGTACAAAAATATTTACCCTTTCCACCATGAAGTCTATGGCTTCGACCATCTCGCTGTCGACTTTATCCGTCACGAAGTTCCCCATCAACATTTTTTTCAAGACTAATGAGGGTAACATCCAAAACCTGTGGAATCAAATAGATTAACCATAATTGAACGCAAAACACGTTCGAGATAACGTATCGCGTTATGTTGTTGGCGTGCTTATCTTGAAACGAGCCAGAAACAAACGACAGAACGCAACAAATTCCTCCGTTTCGAAATACGTAAAAAAACGACGTAATATACGTACACTCCCGCAGAATCGTTGTAACTGAATACCGATGTATCTGTAAAGGTGTTACAGAGTATTAATGACGCTACTCTAGGACAGTGAGCGGTAACCTCGGTGAACTTTTGAGCCAGGAAGCCACCTAAAAAGAAATATTTCACCTGAAACTTCCATTATTCTATTTGATATTATAGGGTCAACGTAACGATTCGTTCATTCTGACCTAATGAAGCGCCAAATAGGTGCACTTTATCCAATTCCATGTAGTCTAAAAGTTTTCGAAATCCATCACACCATTCCTTGATGTTCCAGTATACCGGTGCTTCCACCTGGAATTTCATTTGTACCTTAATATCGATTTATTTCGCAAATAATAGCGCGTCAGTATTATTTCTAACGCTCACTGATATAATTCGATATCCCTTGGCTGCCAAGCCCAATAATTGTTTAAAGAATACATCCGCCGTTCCGCTAACTGGTGGAAGACATATTAGTGGGCATTTTATGGTTTTCGGACTGGAATCGTATACTTTCCATCCCTAAAATAATGATACTAATTCAATAATATCAATAAAGTGCACTGACTTCGATTGAAGTCGAGTGAGAGACGACGTCGACTGTGTTGATCTGATTTCGGAGCATGATCCGGATGGCGGCATAATATGAATCGAGTATCCATACTCCTGTTTGTAACAAGATTTTCAAAACACCAATATACTGGTTATAAAATATATTTCTTATTTGTTCTATGTATACATTTCTATCTAACAATTATTTAAAAGAAATGACATCGATCGAAACGGATGCGTTAAATTCGCATAATCCTAAACATCTGACGGCATTGGTTTACTATTCAATCGCGTCCTCGAGCATGAGATTTGTTTACTACAATCGTAGTCGCGAGGTCATTATTAAGTGTATGGATTCTCGATTGCGATCTCGTCGATGAAACGATCATTCGAATCGAGAAGATGCATCGTTCGCTTAACAATTTTAAAACAACTGAATAAATTCCTACTTTACCTTAGTGCCATCAGTGTCGACAATGATTTTCCGAAGCGGAATGGAGCTGCGGAAGCTGAGATATTCCTGGCACCGGGATAAATCGTTCGAACACGACATTTTCGCCTCTACTGACGCCACCGATTGCACTGTTTATCGTTACAGGATTGTCGTGTTCAGGGTTATTGATATCTAGAAACACAGCACAGATGGTACAACTGGGACACCAGATAACAAGGCAGTACAAAATCAAAACTGCTTCATGTAATCGTTTGAAATGTACTCCAAACTATAGTCGATGTTTTTTTTTTCTAATTTCTTTATTTAACACTAGTCCAATTGTTCCATGTCGCCGCTCAACACTACAGACTAAGCCTACCTCAAGTCCAGGCTACGACTGAGATGTTCTCTTTGTTGTTGCACGTAGCAGGCATTCTCTATTCTTCTTGGCGTCTACTGGAGTACAACCGTATTATTTAGTCATTTGGACGGTCACATTACGTTAATAACACTGATTCGTGACACACAGTACCGACAGCATCAACTAGCTTACACCCCCTTTCCAACATCCTTCTGTTTTATTCTACTTGCTCTTCCCATGCAATTCGTCGCATTGTCACTAGCGGAGATGCCAATGCGCATGCGCGTGATTACGGTAAACAACCATATCCCCCCTGTCACTCTCGTATCGGTAATGTCGTACTGCTTTCTTACCGTTTCTGGTAAGGTGTTTCCATCTTTATCGAGCAGCTGCAACATTATGTACATTATTTTAGATTTACATGTATGTGTGTTTATATGTACATACATAATTTCTTTATTTTTCTTTTCATTCGCCAAAACGAGGATCATTTAACGTTTGAGATAGACAAGAAATATGTTGGTCAAACAGAAAATAGGTCTGATCTATTCCCCGCTTGGTGGCCGAGGCATGCGTGTCCTGGAGCGACCTCTACGATACAAGAAAAAATTGAAGTAACTTCCTGATCGTCTATTATTATGGAACTGTATGCAAATTTAAAATTAAGTGCTCCTGTATTTTAAATGTATTGTTTTATACATATTAACGAGAATAATATATAAAAATTAGTTCACTTAATAAGTAATTTAAATTACAGAAGGCAACAATGTAAAACAATTCCGAGACTATTTCACAAAGCTCAAGTTTACACGTTGCCTGCTATGAAAAGCACAACGTTATGCATGAAGAATCCACCAATAATTATTTCTCAAATACTGCGAGTTTTAATAGTTCCGGCCAGAAGAACCAGATAGATTTAGAATAAGATAAAGAAAGATTTATTTCATTAAACACTAATCATTGAGTTAACAATTATATAAGATATCGATGAGTCTTAAAGTAAGATCTTGTTCCACTTTGGTTTCTAATATGTGTGTCGTGAATACATAAAGTCCATAGTCTCCAACAAATATGTAGTCCAAGGGAACAGGCAATCAATTCAAATTAGCTAAGTTTATCGCTAATGAATTATAATTCGAATTCGAAAGATATTATTAGAACATTGGTGGAATACAAATAACAATTTATCAAACTTATCTATACGTAATATTTAAATCATTTTCCACGACCACATACGGATAGCTTCTTCATGAAAGAACTTGCATTCGACATACCTATTTTCGCCAACAAAGAAATGCCGTAAAAAAGCTCAGAAAATATCATTAAGAACGATTAAATTCCTAAGTAACCGTTCGGTGTCTTAAACATTAACGCGTTGTCATTCGCACGGTTAGCCACGACAAATATTTACAAAGGTCAGAAAAGAGGATCGCAACCACCGACTGATGTAGGGGTGCGGCAACGCTTACTTCGGGTATCTGCAAGTGTACTCGTAGGTGTTCGATATATACACGGAATACTTCTCTACCAACGTACCATCTGCAAGATTAACGATCTCGACGCTTTCATGGTATTGCCTTCGGGTATTCGCAGGTCGGTTTCCCATCCCCTTTCTCATTTTCATCCCCACCACCGTCCTTAGTTTCGGAATTTTCCTACCGCCCGCATAAATTCGAGGGATCCTTCCTGTGTTTTAACAAAAAAAAGAAACCCATAAGACAATCAACCCTCCGGAGGTTCGAACTTTCCGCGTTGTTTAGTACGGTCAATCACGTGCAATTACAATATTGTTCCTTCAACATGGGTCCTCTGGTATTATATATAAAAATCCCAAGGACCCTCCTTCTCTATCTGAAATCGTGAACGAAAATAGAAGAATAAATTGTCTGATTCGTACATATCTTTGTTGTAATTTTTTAGCAAACGGGGCGACACTGGTTCGCAGGTAACGACGCAAAGGCAATGAAGGGATACGAGGTTAGCTGGGGTAGATATTAACGGACCTGCCACTCGGGGGAAAGAAAGAGGGCGACGGTTGATTTTTTCACCCCCCTCGTGGCCCGGGGTGGGCGTATACAGGAGGACGCTTGGGAGACCTAAAACGCGGGAATACGGCCACCGTCTGGAATTCGTTTAATTTCGCACCGAAGAGGAGTCGCAGGAGTGACGGTTCCGTCGAACGATCAAGAAAAACAAAAAGTCACGTCACCTCGGTGAACATTAAAAATACACGGCTTTCAGTCGACGCCGCTTATGTAATCGCGTAGGAAGCGCGCGAGCGATCGTCGTTACCAACCGACGTGTGCCTTTACACTTATTTTTCTCTCTTCTTATTATTTTTTTTTAATTCCTGCAGCATTTCCGCTCGGCCGTCGGTTGACGATAATTAACCGCAATTCATCGAGCTATGGCCGGCGACCTATTCGCATGGTGTATCGCGGGCATTTATCAGCCCGCGCGATTAATCGAAAGCTTTTCAGTGCCCCACGAGTACGAAACGCTCAGGCGCAAGGTTTACATTGGCAGAGGCTCGAGTCATTAATAACCGATACCGTGGAGCTTCGTTCCTGTCCCGCGTTAATTCGACGTATCGAATCGAACGACACACCGGCGCTCGTTAATCTTCTTCCCCAATCCGTCACTCGAAGCGATTTATTTAAGGAACGAATGCACGTACACACGCGGCACTGCGTCTCTCTTTCTCGTCCCATCCTTTTCTTCCCCACTTTATTAGGCTTCTTTTTGACTCGACGCTAAAGCAAGCGCGCTCGCGCTCAGGCGAAACTTAATTAATGCTAGGAGGTACGTATGTATGTATATCGTCGACGTTACGGGAGCGATGAAATATCGTTTTTGGTGACGTACCGATCGCGTAATTCCGTCGTTCCGACGTTTTTCTACGTCTTGCGAAATTTCAAAGAGATCTCAGGCTCACCTTTACACGTGAGCCGCCACGATGTCAATTTCCAGCTCTCTCGGGCTTCCTCCGATAGATCACGGAAGTTTTGAGTTGGACATCACGCGCTGAACATGAACGATTTTTATAGTTATACGCTAAGATACGAGTTCGTACGTGGTGGGTTAAGAATCATAGCGGAATAAGTCACGCTCGTGCTGTTTCTCGTGAAATGGTGTTTTACGTTTATTGTTTAAAAAATCTTCGTACACTTATTGAAGTTGTAGAAACACGTCTGTAAATTCGGAAAACTATGAAAAAAGATTTTATACAATCTAGAAGCGAATTAGTCAATTAAGATTTACTTACATCGTTATGGTTCTAAACATTTTGGTTAGTTACAAATTATTACAGTGGTAATTTAAAGAAATGGAGCTTTTTTATTCATTTCTTTTTCAGGAATGTATGAATATCGTATTTGTTGTAATGGACAACCAATAAAAAAACAGCATTAATATTTACAATTTTTTGTACCATCACAGCAGAACTATTTGTTTTCACGTACAATCTTCTGTTTCGTCATCAGAAAATTGACCAGGATCTCGTGCTTTTTTAAAACTCTTAATAGTATTGAAAAACGGACGATAAATTAATGGATGAAAAGAGGGTAATGTGATTCTACACGCTTTGGTCTCCTTGTTTAGCAACGAAAAAAAGTACTGCCATTTTTCGGTAAACAATGAAATTACATTTTAATTAACTATCAAGGTAAACATATAATATTTTCAAGATTTGAAAAATATAGTATTAACTGAAATTTTCAAAATTTCGACTTACACCAACTCAGCCGGCCATATGGCGCGTGATTTCTATCCCGTAGTATCGTAACGTTCGTTCTCCACGTTCTTTTCTTTGCAATTTTCCACGAAGTAATAACACGATATAGAGAGACGCGGTAACCGTTCGGAAAGTATCGAGGTATGTACATATATACTCGCAGGCACGGTCGTTCGAAGTTTTATTAGATAGGAAATGGTTAATGAACGGTTCGGCGAGCGTCGAATTTTCCTAAAAATTGCCGGTCGGGCTCAGCGGTATCGTTCCTATTACCGAAAGGTTAACTGTCCGAGGATTTTAGAACACGTCTATAAATACCTGTAATAAAGCGGGCGATCATTAATCTTCGACGGTAATTTCGGTTTGCAGTGGCGACATTCGTCGTCTCCTTTGCTCTCCTTACCGCTTCCCTCGTCATCCCCCTCTGGCCGTCCCTTCTTTCCGTCCCTCCCTAGACGCTTCTTCTTCTCTCTTCCTCTCTGGGTGCACGGTTCCCCGTTTGTATCCTGCTCGTTCTCGCACTTTCTAGGATAATTAATGATCCTAAAAGCGATCTACTCACGGTTGTCTCGTTTCGGGGCAATCTTTCTACGTCCCGCTCATCACCGCCCCCGCCTCTTAAGTCCTCCTCCTCGAGCCACGGGACTTTGTTACGTGGATCAAAACGACTCCCATCCCACCGTTTAATTGCACAGGATCCCGCGATGCTTCGAGAAACGTTCGTCGATCGCGATAACGTCGTCGTGGAATCCAGTCAGCCACGCTTGAATGACTGACGAACGCCTCCGTAACTCTTCGCCGTGCGTTCAATCATGGAACTGAAGATCGTGCACGATGTTATTAATAGGGGTGTTACTTACGTGTAGAGTCTGTATCGTCGACGAGTTCAGTCATTCTGGCAGCGTCGCGAGTTTCGAGCCGACAGGAATGATTTCAACAACCGTGATCGAGGTGTAATCGATTAACACGCTCGTGTTGCACGTGCTTCGGCATTTGTCACATCGGAACGTTGAAACGAAGAGTATTTATGCGAGTAGGCATTTCTAGTAGTTATTTCAGGAATTAAAGGGTTTTTTGTATTGGGATTTTATTAACTTTTTTGTTATGGAGCTGGCTAGAATAATATATATTCACGTAGTACGGACTTAGCGATTCGAATGATACCAATATTGATTCCAGATGGAAAATTATGATACCTTACCGAACAGTATCAGAAATGTATTCTATTTTTGATACCTTTCGAGATTATAGATATTAAAGAAGACAGATCTCACCGATTGAAGAAAAAATTGGTTCCGCAATTTCATTATTTTCGACATTAGTTAATCAATCCTGAAAAAATGTAGCACCTTTCTTGCAATACCCATGAGTATATACAATAGATACTTTCAAAATAACAAATGGGTATCGATAATTTCGTGAAGTATCAAACGGATATTGTTTCGATATAATACTTGTATCGGTTTGGTATCGCTTCAAGAAGTATCGGCGTCGAAAATTGATACCACATGCCTAAAATTTGAA